CACTTGCTTCCAGTAATATTGGGTCTTTTTGAGGAGAAAAGTGTTAGAAATATTTTAAATAAACAAATAAAATATGATGGTGGCTATCTTTCTCTTGTCTTGGTTTCTAGGTTTGGGATGATTCACAAAAAACAGTTGGATGTAACAATACAAAATGGTACAGAACCAACTTGATTCCGTGCTGCCCTGTTACTAAGCATTAATTGGCTAGTCTGCTCAAATGTTATTTTTTTAAAAATTAAGCATTATTTTATACTGTTGAATTATTCAAGTCAGTCCAGGTCATAAAATGTATAAGGAAACAAATACAGCATAAAATACGGTAAGTCATAAAATGTATAAGGAAACAAATGTAATGATGTAATGACAAAAACCTTTGAGCCCACCTACCTGACAGATATTTCAGCAGTGATTCTGTAATTTTTGAAGTTTCAAACAAGGAAACTACACCTTTTCTGCTAATACTGAATTACTGAGGTCTTTCATTATGTATTCTGTACAACCCAAGAACATGCCAAAAAGCATTCTTTAGACTGAAACTGGTATGACCCTACACATCTGATTCTTGCAGTTACGCCAGTGTTACAGCATCCTGTTTCCAAACTAGTATTTCAAGTGTGGTCACATTGTTAACAGACCAGTGTCCTGTTTCAGTAGGAAGAACAAAGTTGGGGGGGGATGGAGTCAAGGGGTAGATGAAAATAAATCATTTGACAAGCAGTCCTGTTTCACCTGGGTTTAACTGTGTTTTGTATACAAATGCCCTTTCAAACTATGACAAAGTAAGTAAGATATTCCTTATCATGATTTTGTTTCAACTGCTTTGTCACAAATTGCCTACACACAATCAATAGTGGTTGGCCCAGGTAAAGAACCTGGAAAGTATGGAAAGGAAAGAGCATCTTTCTTTTTTGACATATAAACACTACATATTTCTTTACTAGAACAGGAGCAGTTATAGTTTGGTGACTGAGTTTCAGGTCTCAGCTTTAAAAACATTGGCTTATTGGGCAATTTTATGGCTCCAGCATCTCTAAAAATTATTTGGGCATATTAGACCTTATTACTGCCAGGGCCATGACATCAGTACACATCACTCAACACATAAGGATAACCTAGGCCAGGATAATCCAAAATCTAGTTAAAATAATGAGTATTATAACTGATGTATGCCTTGATCCTGAATTTACCTGACTTTGTGCTCCAATGTTTTTCTTGGAATTCACTTCAAAAAGTACATCAGAGTCTCATGTTGCAAGTAAATCTAAGCATTTATTAAGACTCTGTTGATACTGCTTCATGTTGCACGGTACATATTCAGTACTGGACTGTAAATCCCATTGGTATCTTCAGTACAACTCAGCCTACTTCATCATATAGTGTGAATCCCCTGATCTTAAGAAGGGGTGTTCCTTTGTCTGTCACTAGCACCTCAGCAACAATCCTAGGTGATTTTCCTCCCCTCTCCTCCCACTTACACTTCTCAGTATCCACAGCTACTCATTTCACCAGAAGCATAATGTGTCCTTTGTATTACCGTCTTTCCCCGAAAATAAGATAGGGTCTTATATTAAATTTTGCTCCAAAAAACACATTAGGGCTTATTTTCAGGGGATGTTTTATTGTACAGTCATGTCATCTTCTTCTGGTGGCTGCACAATAGTGGAGGGTGGAGTTTCACTTAAAAGGAGCTTATTTTGGGGGTAGGGCTTATATTACGAGCATCCTGAAAAATCATAAGGTAAAGGTAAAGATTCCCCTTGACATTTATTCCAGTTGTGTAGGGTGCAGTGTTGATCCCTGTTTCCAGGCCATAGAGCCAGCGTTTGTCCGAAGACAGTTCCCATGGTCATGTGGCCAGAGCGACTAGACACGGAACGCCATTACCTTCCCACGGTGGTGGTAGCTATTTATCTACTCACATTTTACATGCTTTTTAAATTCTCGGTTGGCAGGAGTTGGGACAAGAGACGGGGGCTCACTCCGTCACTTGGATTCGATCTTATGACTGCTGGTCTTCTGACCCTGCAGCACAGAGGCTTCTGCGGTTTAACCAACAGTGCCACCACGTCCCAGCTGAAAAATCATACTAGGGTAGGTCTCATTTTCAGGGAAACAGGGTAGCTACAATGGTTAAAACTAACCAAAGTTTGTCCAGGCTTGGACAAGCCAAATAAGGAGAGCCTCCTGAAAATGGAAACAACTGTTCCATCTCCTTGCAGTTGTGCTGGAGAAGGGGAGGGGGGAGCATTTGAGTTGTGAGGATTTTGTGTGCAAGGATAAACTATAAGAACATAAAAAGAGCTATTGCTAGATCAAACCAAAGTCTTATTTGTTCCAGTATTTTGGTCACAATGTAGCCAAAATATTTTTTAATAGTTGTTGTGGGTTTTTAGGGCTCTTTGGCCGTGTTCTGAAGGTTGTTCTTCCTAATGTTTCACCCAGTCTCTGTGGCCGGCATCTTCAGAGGACAGGAGTCAGAACTCTGTGCCCTGGTGCAGTTGTTTGGAGAGTTGAGTATTTACAGCTATGGGATCAGCTTCGTCCTTTTCAGGAGATGGGTGATTATGGTGATCAGTGTGTTTTTGTTGTGGGTTTATTGTTGTGCTAAAGGGGAGAGATTATCTGTTGCTGTGATAGATGGGTGTTGTTAGCTGGTCTTTTGTGTGTAGTGATCACCGGTCCTTGTGGCTGGGTAGAGTTTGTTGACCTTTTGCATGCTGTATTTTTCAGTGCTGGGAGCCAAGCTTTGTTGAGTATTAAACTGTCTTCTTTTTTGTTGAAGCTCTGCTGGTGTTTGTGGATTTCAATGGCTTCCCAGTGCAGTCTAACGTAATGATTGCTGGGGTTGTCCAGGATTTTTAGTATTTTGAAATAGAATTTCATGTCCAGCTTGTTTTAGGCCATGTTCAGCTACTGAGAATTTTTCCAGTTATTTTAGTTTGCAGCATCTCTCATGTTCTTTGATTCTGCTCTGGATGCTTTGTTTTGTGGTTCCAATATATACCCGGACACAACTGCAAGGTATCCGATATACTCCTGCAGTGGTGAGGGGGTCCCTTCTGTCCTTTGCTGACCTTAACATTTGTTGTATTTTTGTGGTGGGCTTCAATACTGTTTGTAGGTTGTGTTTTTGAAAAAGTTTCCCCACGCGGTCCGTGACCCCTTTGATGTATGGCAGAAATCCTTTATTTGTGGATGGCTGTTTTTCTTCTTCAGTTTGGTGTTGCTTTCTTCGTTTGATGACTCTTGTGATTTCATTTTTGGAGTAGCCATTTACCTGTAGGGCCCAATTCAGATGGTAGAGTTTGGTGCTGAGAAATTGAGCTCCACAGTTACCAGTGTTTTGATTATGCCTCTTTTTTGTTCTGGGTGGTGGTTGGGGTTTTTGTGTAGGTACTGGTCTGTGTGGGTGTGTTTTCTGTACACCTTGTGTCCCAGTCGGAGGTCAGTTTTGCGTAAGACCATGACATCTAAGAATGGGAGTTGGCCCTCTATTTCTTTTTATTAAAAATATTTTAACCTGCTTTTCTCCCAAGGAGGCTTACAGCAATTAAAAGACAATACATATTTAAATCTGAAAAACCCACCACAACCATTAGATCCCTTCCGTGAATGCCTTCGTGGATATTTTTTTATATATTATTTAAATCTTTTAACCTGCTTTTCTCCTTCAAAAGAACCCAAGGAGGCTTATAGCAATTAAAAGACAATACATATTTAAGGTTAGTAACAATGAGTACAGTATACAATACTAAAAGGATCAATGGACACAATACCAAAAAAAAAACAAGCAACACCAAAGCACATTCAAAGCAAAAAGGTACAACAATCCATTTGTAAAACTCCACTGGGCAGCCATTCTCTCAGGGAAAGCTTGCCTGCAAAGAAGCATCTTTGTCTTCTTGCAGAAGGACAGTAAAGATGGGACCAGTTTGGCTTCCTGTGGGAGGGAGCACCAGAGTCTGGGAGCAGCACCAGAGAAGACTCTCTCTGGTGTCCCCACCAAGCACAACTGCCAAGGTGGCAGGACCCAGAGGAAGGCCTTTCCTGATGATCTTAATACAGTGGTGTCTTGACTTGAGAACTTAATCCGTATTGGAAGGCGGTTCTCAAGTCAAAAAGTTCTCAAGTCAAATCTGCATTTCCCATAGGAATGCATTGAAAACCATTTGATCCGTATCTGTTCTTTTCCGTCCATAGAAACTAATGGGAAGCTGCTATTCCGCCTTCGACCACTAGAGGGGGATATTTTGTTTCTTTTTTTTTCTTAGGTCAAGAAAGGTTCAGGGAAGGCAGGGAAAATACAGTCCAGGCAGTACCAGGCAGTCTGAAG